CTAGAGCCCATGTCTTCTGTCCGTGCTTCAGGACTCTTTCCACTTGACCCAGTGACTCCCCCTTACGGTACATACTGCACTGAACAGAAGATCTCTTGGGAGACCCAGCCCACTTTGATACCCCCATCCTGGGCAGCCAGAGCCCCGGGATTCTTAAACATCCCTCTAGCTCCCAGCCGCCGCCTCCTCCCCGACCAAGCCTTTGACCGGAGCCCGGCACGGGGGCACGGCTTGGGCAGAAGACAGCAGAACCTGCAGGTGCCCTTCAGCACACAATGCAGCCTTTGATAACCCAGCTGTGCCGCTAGCAGCTCTGGCCTGGATTTCAGGAGACGCACGGCGTCCTGACAAGTTATCCAAGAAGCCACGGCGGAAAGGATGAACTGAGGGCGGGACCCAAGGCCCTCTTCTTCCACACAGGGGCTCCCTCGTCTGCAGCCACACATGCTCTAGCTATTCCCACAGACTCACAGCCTCTGCCTCAGACCCAGCTTGGTCCCCATGGGAACAGTTGACATCTATTGATCATCTATTAAGCCGGGCACCAGGCCAAGGCTGACTTGGACCATCTCATATAATCCTCATGAGGATTACCCTTTGAGGCAATTTAAGGTTAGTTTTCCCCTTTGATAGTTGAAGAATCAAAGTTAAAGAGGTGAGTCACTTGCCCAAGCGATACAGCCAGTAAGGAGCAGTGCCGGGCCCGGAGCCCAGGCGTGGCAGGCCCCGGAGCGCACACCACATTCACCACCTTGTCCTTCACGGCCCACAGCCGACAGGGCCTGCGAGATCACCAGGCTCAGCTCCCTGCTTGGTACATGAGGAATCTGACGCCTGGAGAGAGGAGAGATTTCCTGCTGAGCACCCCGTTCCCTGACTCCTGGTCGGAGGGGTCTGTCTACCTCGCTCCCTGCCGTGCCTGGGAGCCGACGCCTGGCCGAGAGCCGCTGCGGCTCTGAATTCATGGAAAACCTACCCAGCTTCGCTTTCGGCCTGGGGTCAGCTCTTGAAGTTTCATTCTTCTCACCTGAGACCCTGGGATTGGCCTGAGCTGTGATTTTATAACACCCGGAGCAAAGGGACGACGACCAGTGAAAACGGTCAGAACCTTATTTTGTCCTGAGGCATATTTAGCTCGAATTTGGTCTAAAAATAAATTCCTTTCCAGCGTGAGTAGATAGAATGATGAGTTTGACTGACTCGGGGCCTCTCTTCCCTTGGCTCGTCTTGGCCGTGGGTGGGAGGTGAGGAGACTGGCCCTCCCGGACCCACCACCCACCACACTTTAAAGCTTGCCAGACATTCTGTCTTTGGGTCAAAGAGTTTTTTAAAAGGTGACAGATAACTAGTGCCTTTGGCAAGCTATACCCTGGGCAGGTCTCCATTTTCTCTGATAAAGAGTGAAATAAATGAAAACAGTACATAAAGAAAAAAAATCCGTAAATGGGTGGGAGCCCAGGGTCATTTTCCCCTTCATCCTCCTCCCTGTCCCTGAAGCGACTTCGTGAGGAGCCCGGGGGGGAGCACTCCCTGACAACAGCTGGGAGCCTCATGCCTCTCGGCAGCCCTTCTCCACGCTGCTTCCCCTTGGCGGCACGCGGCTCACTCTGGCAGGGAAAGCCCAGGGCAGAACGGGAAACTTCAGAACTTTCTGAAGAAGGAGAGAGCTTGCTCTAAAGCAGGTTCCCTCTTGCCAAGACCTTTTGGTCTGAGGAGCTGGTACTGTTGCAGCCCCTACCCCAGAAGTTTCTAAGGAAAAACCGAGCTGATCAGAGATTTGCTTCAGGAGCCGTGGGACTCTGGGCCTGAGTGCGGGGGCGGGGGGGGCTCCCCGCGGGGGGGGCTCCCCGCCCTGGTGCGCACCTGCTCAGGTGCCTGTTGCGGGGCCAACTCGTACCTTGGGGAGGGGACGCTGCCCTGCCCAGGGGTGCCGGGGTCGGCCACGCTGCACAGGATACTTGAAGCAGCAGAGCAAATGCAGTGGACGTTGGCAGCCGCCTGTCCGTCGCTGAACCTCGAGGACGGGCCACCAGGCTCCCCTCCGGCAAACGCATGCGTGTCACTGGGCGAACAGCCGCAGATGGAACGTGGGGGAGGAATGAGTGGCCCTCACTTGTGGGTGGTGGCAGGCAGCTGGCAGGGTCCCTTCCCACACGGTCCCGTGCAGGCGTCCTGTCAGGGCGGGCTCATCACCCCTGCTCACAGGGGAAACACAGCTAGGGGCTTCCCTTGCCCGCCCAGCCTCGCTCCAGGGCTGTGGCGCTTCTGGCCTCGTCGCGGTCCCTCCGGGCCGTAAGGACTGGCAGAAAAGGGCTTTGAGCTCAGAGACGGCCACTGTTTGGCTCAGGACCGCGTCAAACAGGATGTGGATGGGAGAGGGTGCTTTATCTTTCTTTGTAACTGTTGGCATAATTTGAAGTTTGAGACTGGACTGCTTTTTCTTCTTCAGTACCTAAATACCACATTTGTCCACTCTCTGAGGCCACTCTCTCTCACTTTAAGCAGCATGTCATGAACATGCCTTAACTCTTCTTGCAAACCAGCGACCATCAGTAGGTACGTTAATGACAGCCACTTAGGTCTCGCTGAGTGCTGTCTGTGGGCTGGCCGGTGGGGTCCCTGCTTCCCAGGGCCCACTGTGCAGCCTGGCAAGTGCCACATATATGCATGTGACAAACGCTCCGGGAGAAGCACAGAGATTGTCTATAGGCAGGGAGAGAACCTCTTGGTCACCAGGGAAGACTTGATAGGAGCCAGGGCATTTGGCCTGAGCATGAGATGGAAAATGGCATGTGTGAAGAAGAGTGGGTGGCCAGATTGGAGTGGGGGGCTTGCATCCTGGACCATGCATGGGCATCGGGGGGGGGGGTGTCTGTGACATCCCCTCATTGCCCTGGGGGGGGACTTAGCTGCAGTTTTTCTGGGAGAGGATCCTTAGCTTTCTTTGCTTTTCAAGGGAGGGGTGCATGAGCCTAGAAATGTAATGGAAGGGCAAAAACAATTTTTTTGACATGTTGGAGCCAGATAGTGAAAATCATTGAGTGCCAGGCTGCACGTCTGGGGAGCATGCAGGGTTTTGGTCGGGGTAGTGACAGAGGCCCACACTCGAAGAAAATGTATTTAGTTGCAACAGAAAGGCAAAGTCGGCCTGTGTCCAGAGGAGAACCAGCCTTCTGCAGCAGTTTTGTTGAAGGGTAACAAAGGCCAGGAGCCAGGGGGTGTCACAAAGGGTAGAGGGACATTGTGGGGGAAGAAAAAGAACCTTCAGGATGAATTCACCACAGGGCTTTAGGGAGAGGTGGAAACAGGGTTCTGATACAGGAATAAAAATGGGCCAAAGCACATTCAAAGACAATATTGAGGAGCCCTTCATTTGGAGCACACTGGTTCAAACTACAGAGACATCCAGGTCACAGAGTCCCACAGGTGGCTGGAATGTGGGACGGAAGTTGGGGGGAGAAATGAGGGTCAGAGGCCCAGATGGGGCAGTTCTGTGCTAAGGGGGCTGAGCCTGAGAACAGCGCCACGCATGAGGGGCATGGAGGGCAAGACAGGAGGGCTCCAGAGAGAAAGCTCATCGGGAGCACAGCAAGGAGAAGGGAGGTAGACCCAGGATGTGGAATGTCACCCGGGGAGGACGGCTCCCTGAGAGAGGAGTCAGCTCATAAATGCTGCCCAGAGCCCGCGGAGGCCAGGGCTGTGGGAGCCAGAGGAAGGGGTGACGTTTGGAAGAGGTTTCGATTGACTTGGTGTTGGGGCAGCGGGCAGGTGGTCAGGTACCATGTAACTGCACGGTGGGACCCCAGGGCCTGTTGAGTTGTGCAGGGCTACTCACCCCTGCACCAAAGGAGCCCTGTTTGGGGCCTTTGTGGTACTGGTGGTGACCGGGCCTCTTGGTGGCCCTTCCTGGTTCATGTCACGGTCCTGATTGAGCCACTCTAGATAAGTGAGTTGTGACTACTCTGGCCTCGTGTGAGTCCAGTGCAGGGGAGAGAGAAGTAAGTGACAAGCCGGGGTGACCAGGGGCAAGGGGTGCCCACCCTGCCCCTCCACTTTCTACCTCACCTGCTGTCTTCCCACAGAGCTTCGAGTTCCCAGCTCACGACAGGCCGCCCGCTGCCCCCAGTACCCCCTGCTGTGTTTCTTGCCTAGAACACCCGTAATGCCTACTCCTCCTCCGCCTTCCTTGGTCTCGCCAGCCCAGCGCCTCGCGGTACCTCTAAACGTGCCCTTACCGCCTCGATTGGTGTTACTGCTGTGTTTGCGTCCTCCTCTGAACCGGGATCTCCCGCGGGGCAGGGGCCCCGTCCAGGTCCCCTGGCAGCCCCTGGCACCTCATACCGTGCCTGGCAGAGCAGGCCCGTGTAGAATGTGGAGCCCGTCTCTACAGAATCGAATCTGGGTGCCAGAAAGGCCGGATGGTCTGCCCCAGATCACGTCACCCGTCTGTGACTGGCCAAGGAAGCTTCTCTTGATACCCAGCCTGGCTTTCTATCCAGTAGCCCAAGCTGCACATATGTTTGGAAATAAATGGAGACCATGGAACACTTCGAAATCCTTTTTAGTAGACCCTCTTTGTCTGTATGAAGTCAAGGATCCAGCTGAGTGGAGAGTACAACTCTCTTTATATTTCAGGTCACAGAAACGACGAGGTGGCTGGCTTGGCCACTCTCTGGCTTGGCTTGGGGGTCGGGCCCCTGTCTTTGGCCTGGGAGAGGCAGAGGGAGCCCAAGGACTGACGTCTAGTAGGACCTGGCAGCCTGGAAGGTCTACATACAGGCCCTTGAAAGATCAGTGCATGATAGCACAGAAGTGAACTGCTTGTACCTCCCTTGGAAAAATCCAGAGGGTTTTGCATCAGCAGGGAAGGGAAATCCAACCCAAGATGCATGAACAATAAATAACAACTGTTCTGAGTTAGGTTGAAAGCTCTGAGTTGCACTTTTTTTCAAGTTGTTTGTGCTAACCGCAATTTTTTTTCTCCCCCTCTTTCCCACCAGGGCTTATTTCAAAACCTTTGTCCCTCAGTTCCAGGAGGCAGCGTTTGCCAATGGAAAGCTCTAGGAAACACCAGTCTTGAGAGGTGGCCAGCCAGACTGCTGTGTCCACATGCGTGTCAGCACATATGGCCGCTTCCTGGAAGCCGCTTGGAACGCCTTCATGGTAGCGTTCTGCGCACACAGCAGCTTTGCACGCCCCGCCTGGAGCCCAGACTGAAGCGGGCTGGCGCTAACCTGGATCCTCGAGCCCCCACCGCTGGTCGCTCCCTCTTTGTTTCCTTCAGTATACTTCTTAGTTGGAAGAAATAAAATCAAATTCTGACACAGTATTTTTCCAGGGAAAGTAAGACATCACAAATGCACACACCCTTATTCCAGGAAAGCCTTTGTCTCTGAGACCGTGTTTAAGTCTTAAGATGAAACCCCCCTTTGCTTTTATTTTTCCCTGAAACTCATGTCGTGTGTGTGTGTGTGTGTGTGTGTGTGTGTGTTTTACTCCCCAGCATTTCCCACTTGGGGCAGCTCTCCATTGGAAAAGGCGCTGCCTGAATGAACCTGACCATCCTGCATGGTTTCAGCCACCCAGCCTGCCAGGCCCCCGGCCGGTGCTCAGGAGCACCTGGGATCCAGCACCCCCTGCAGCTCCCCATGTGTGCGCCGTGTGCACAGAGGCAGTCGTTAAGTTTGCTGAATGGGCCAGTGGATCCGTCCTTCCCTCCCTCACATCACTCAGCCCTCCCTAGGCTGATGGGAGAGCTATTTGGGCTTCTGCAGCCCTGTGCGCATCATACCTGGAAGACAGAGGTTGCGTCTTGTGGGCTGTCACTGGCGTGTCTGTGACATCCGGGCTCAGGTCTCTCTGCCACCATCCAGGAACAGAGCAGGGGCAGATACCTGAGGGAGTTCCGCTTGTCCTGTATTTACAGATTGTCAGAGCCAGACGGGGTCTCAGGACTCCCCTTGTTTCACCCCCGGCCCTCTCCCCTGTGGCTCCCTTACGTGTACAGAGAGAAGTAAGGCCCAAGAGCTGCAGAAACTCTCCAGGCAAATTGGGAGCAGACCTGGAGGTGGTGGCCAGGCCTCTCCTTACCATCACACGACTTCCCTTAGCTTACAAGCTGAGGATAGCCAAGCTGACCCCTTGACAAGACTTACGGTTTCACTTAGCGCTGCTGCATCCTGAAGGCTTTCCACATAGGGAAGTGGGACGTGCGTGCAGAGGTGAGGGAAGCGATCAGCTGGCCTGCCTGGCCTGTGCGCTTCCCTAGCCCACCTGCCTTCCCAGGCAGCGGTGAAGCCCCGGCGCACCTGTCGGGGTTTCCGCGCCTCTCACCGTTCTCTTGGTTCTCCTTGTGGTTCTTGGCACCCGGTTTTACTGTGTGAGCCTGAAAGGGAGCCAGCTCAGGGCCCCCGTGGGGACCATGGAGGGCTACCTCTCCTTCCTGTATCCTCCAGCACCCAGGAATACTCCCAGGAGGCAGAACAGCTTGGACAGACCCCCCTGCTGGCCACCAGCTGGACCACTGCCCAGCTCTGGGTTCTTCTCGGTGTGGGTACTTTGCCCCCTGCCCCGGAACCTTGGGAACTCCCATGACAGAGGAAAGTCCAGGGCCCTGGGTCCACACCCCAGCTCTGCCCTTAGCCGGCTGTGTGACATAGAGTGAGCCCCTTCTCTGTGTCGTACAAGGACTCGGCTCCTCTGGAGCCCCCCGGGGAGCTGTCTCGAGCGCTGCTGCTCAGGCCGCCCTGCAGTTCTGCTGAACCAGTTCTTCACCAGTCGGGGCTGGAACGTCGGGACTTTGATAACCCTCCCCAGGTGATTCCTCCGAGCCCTAAGCCAGCTGACCACCCTGGAGCCTCTGCCGCCCCTGGCTAGCCGACCGCCCACTCAACCTCAGCGCAGCTGTGTGCCAAATGTCCCTCACTCCGCCCCATGACACTGTCACTTAGGACTGCTGTGGCCGTCTGCCCCCGTGGAGGGGCATGGATGGGGATCGCGGCCCCCAGAGCCAAGAGTTGCCTGCGTCAGGGTGTGGTTCAGACCCAGTAGGGGAGTCCAGTGCCAGTTCCAGCCGAGGGTGGTTGGCAGATGTGGGGGTGGGGTGAGGTCGCGTGGCTGGCCTGGACCCTTGGCATTTCAAGTAGCCCGGCAGACATGACGGCCGCCAGTAGTGGGCAGTGTGACCCGGGGCGGGGGGGCGCACACACACTCAGGCCGGCCTGTCCGTTGGAGACACACCCACACATCTGCAAAGCGGGCACACTGACCGGGAAGGGCTGTCACCCGCCTGACCTCAGAGCATCGCACAGCCAACCTGTGAAGCAAGCAAGCGGGCGTGCAGCCCCCATCCCACCCATGAGGAAACGCGATCAGAGGGGTGAAGCAAGTCACCCAAGGCCACCAGCCAGTCAGCGCCAGAGCTGGGACTCAGCCCAGGCTCCTGGCTCTGGACCCGGCGCTACTGCTCAGGTACGTCCACGTCCCGGCCATAAAACACCCTGACGCTTTGGTGTTCTTTCCCAGCGAAGGATGACGTGCTCTGTATAGGTTTGTGAGCGTGAGGATTCTATGAATTTTAAACGGACTTTCATCCCCCTTACCGCAGGACGAGGGTTGGGGCCAATTTTCTTAGGAGGCAACCAAACAACAGAAGGTGACAATGGCCGCCTCGTGTGTCCAGTGTCACAGATTCAAAACCCCTGTGAACTTTAGCGTCACCCCCGCCAGCCACAGAAGCCAGGGGTGCTCGTAAAGGGTGCCAGTCCCCTGTGTGGTTTTAAACACTTCTCGCTAGTTCAGCCCATCGTCGAGCATCGTACCCGCATAGAGTGCAGCCCAGGACTAATTAGTAAATGACTACAAAGTGCTTTGAAGAAGAAAAGTGCCGTATAGGAGAGCACATTATTATTACCTCATAAATCCTGTCGCCAGCTTAGCCAGCCCGTGTAATTTCAGCTGAATCTTTGGCTCAGCACAGACGAGGAGAAGGACTCCGATGTGTTGACTAATAATACCTGCGCACCTCCTGGGGGGACCATGGGCAGCCAGCGCTGAGCCCTCTCCCAGCCGCTCGGCTGCCTGAGGACCCAGCTCCGCGCGCGAGAGCTGCTTTGCTCCTGGGAATGACCTGGAAAGAGCATGAACTTGAGGACAGAGATTTATATTTGAATCCGGGCTCTGCCCACTTAGTGGCTGGCAAATATTTAACAAACAGTTCTAAAGCGGTTTAAAAAAGGACAAGAAAAACAGGAGGGCCCGATTCGTACTGTTGGCCAGTTTCCACGGTCTAAATATTCCCACTGTGACCGATTTCCAGCTACCAGCGTGAGGTCACTGGGTGCAGACGTGGGAAGAGCAGGGAGGGTGGTTGTGGGAGCCCCCACTGGGGTGAGCAGACCCCAGGGCGGGTCTTCACTCAATGTCTGTCAGTTTTGTTTTCCTCACCTGTAAAATGGCAGTAAATACCTGCCTCCTAGGGTTGTGAGAATAAAATCAGAATTGTACGTAAAGCCCCAAGTAGGGTGCTTGGCGCACGGGAAAGTTTGATCAATAGTGGCTATAATTACTGCGGACCAGAAAAATGATTTTCCAATGTTGACTTCGGCCTTTTTCTGAAAAGTCAGAATGCCCCTGTTAAGAAGTCTTGCCAATGAATGTGGTCTTTGGAAGAGTGACCCTTTCTGGATGACTAGGAAGACAAACGATGAGTCACCTGGATTTTAGGGAATGAGAGATGAGAAATCTCGGTGGGAGTTCCCACCCCGGCCCCAGGCTGGGGCGGTGGGACTTCAGGCTCTGGGGAGCGCTGGAAAGCAAACGGCGCAGTGACCTGCTTGTTCACCCCGGCACCTGCTCTCTCAGGGAAAACTGAGCGGCACAGGTGACTCGTACTTCTGACTCAGTTTCGGTTCCTGACGACCACAGACTCTTGTTTCGGAGGCCCAGCCTTGGTAGAGAAATAACCACACTCAGTTTGCCTCTTGCCTGGGCCTATAAATAGTGCAGCCCCAGAACCTGCCCTAGTTCCTGGGGATTGGCCCATCCCACGGTTCTCCTTAGCGCCAATGTTAGAAACATCATCTCGTGGTCAGATGGCGTCTAATGCTGTTCACGGCATCATCAATGCATCGGTGCTTTTTAAAATGAAAGTGAAAAGAGACTTCAGCTTTCTGTTTATGTGTCTATAGTGCTTACGTGCAGCGTCAGTAGAGTAAACGTCAGGGGTTAGACCAGATGCCAAACAGAAACAGGGGCTGGGTGACTGGTCAAGACAGTAGCTACCCTTATCAAGCTATAAATGACATTCCGTGCCGGCTATTTTTTATACATTGTCTTTTTCAATCCTCAAAACGACTAAATGAGGTAGCTTATTTTTTTTTTAAAGATTTTATTTATTTATTTGAGAGAGAGAGAATGAGAGATAGAGAGCACGAGAAGGAAGAGGGTCAGAGGGAGAAGCAGACTCCCCGCTGAGCAGGGAGCCCGATGCGGGACTCGATCCCGGGACTCCAGGATCATGGCCTGAGCCGAAGGCAGTCACTAACCAACTGAGCCACCCAGGCGCCCCTAAATGAGGTAGCTTATTATCCCCATTTTATACATAAAGAAACTGAGCCTCAAAGAGGTTAACTAACTTACATAAGGCCCTGCTACTTTCTCTCCTTCCTTCCCTCCCTTCTTCCTGTTCTCCCTGTCTGCCCCCTTCCTTAGGACACAAAGGCAATGAGCCCAGGGCGCTCTGTTTCTTTCCACTTCCCTTATCCACCTTCTCCAAATGGAGGGAGATTTATTGAGCATCTACTGTGTACAAGACATTCATATCCTGGTTTTTGCCATCTTCCACAGGAGAGGGGCTTGGGGTGGTTGGGTGGGGCCGAGATCAGGTGGAAGCAGGAGTCAGGCCTAGGTCTGCTGGTTCCAAGACTAGACTTCACCACAGAGGGTTCTGCGTGTCTGTGTGCACTCAACTAAAGGATGCTTTGAAGCAGTCTTTGTATAGGCAGATGGGCCTACGTGGCTACATAAATACCCACTGATTTTCAGATGAGTGAGCCAGGGCTAGCCCCACAGTTGGAAAAACTCTGACTTTGTGCCATATTCTCAAGTTAAAGTCCAAAACACACTTGGTTGGAATAATGGCCAACCCCAATATCTGGGGGAAACGAGATGAAAATAGTCGTGGCAATTATTAAGGAAGATCACCAGGGTACTTCCAAAGGCATAGGATCCATGAACTGATTCCAGAACAAATACGAAAGAGCTCCAAGGGTTATTTCCTCATGCTCTCCTTCTTCGGGGGTCCACATTTCTCCTCCATTCATCTCTGACCCCTTTGGAAGAGCCACACTTTACATGCTTGGGGTCATGATGAGTTATGACTAATAGTGGCAATAAAAGTAACCCCACAGGCACCCCAGGAATGACCAGAATGAGCCTCCC